TATATATTAAGAAATGGACAAAGTCCGGCAATTTATTTATTAAAGACATTTTATGTTTAACGTTCTTTTTATAGATACAGTATTTTAAATGCTCTGTTTATAATAAACAGTATTAATACTGTTTATTATAAACAGAGCATTTACTTAAATACTTGTATCTATAAAAAGAACGTTAAACATAAAAATGTCTTTAATATATATATATATATATATATATATATATATATATATATATAATTTTTATTTAAAAAAATTATAACATAAATATGTTATAAAATCACTACAAAATTAGCCATTTTGTTTCAACACTCTCAGTGTCTTATCGAGTGATGATGTTGAATGTAAAATAAATGGTTTTAAAAATCCATTCCGTATATACCAATTATATATATATATATATATTATAAACACAAAAATATTTACCTACATACTCGATTATTTTGTCTTTTACAGCTTATCAACCGTTTGTAGGCTATTTAACGCCAGTAAATATTTTTACATTCTACGACTGTTTTGGAGATAATAATGATTTACTGGTACAAGTCCTACTAATTAACCCATAGCTGGGGGAGAAGAGGTGGGTTCATATCTTTACCAAGGGTATTTGTGCGTAAGTGAATACAATAAATGCGACTGGAATTGGAACACGGCTCTTCGATTTCCAATTCCGAGCCGTTACCAATTACACCACACACACATGCAAGCTGACAGTAGCTGGTATTCCCAAGCCGTCACCCAGCTATGCACTGACCAGATTCGGCGTTGATTATCTTCGGTGAACGTACGAGAATCAGTGTTTCAACATGTTATGACCCGTTTGCCCCCCATCCCCCCAACCTTACAAAATCAACTATAAATACTAGCGATTTATTTATTAAATATTTATAATTATTTATTTTCGTCTGCCGGCCTGAATACTCGACAAATTTTATTAAAGAGAAATATGAGCTCTCCGACAGGATTCGAACCTGCGTCCCTCTGGGCAGATGGAACCACTGAGATCCAACGTGCTTTAACCAAATTTATCCCAGGGAGACGCAGTTTCGAATGCTACCGGAGAAAGAAAATGTTTCTTTAATAAGAAAACTCGTGCATTCAGGCCTGTAGATGAAAATAAATAAATAAACTGTCAGATAAATAAACAGAGCGTCTACTTAAATATGAGTATCCACTAAAATAATATTTAAAAGAATAAAATGAATTAAAGTATAAAAACAAGCAATATTGACCTAAAACTCGCTCATTGTTTTCTTATAGTGTTATAATAAAACGTTGTTTAACTATTGATTCCAGAGTAATTTCAATCAAAGTCTTCAACAATAATAAATCATTGATTTCAATATTAAATAATATATATGTCGTACAAATCGCCAACTAAACCCATTGAATAAAAGGCTGTATATATTTTCATAATTACTTGATAAACGCGTTACATAAATCTCAAGCCGACTGTCACTCTTTAGCGTAGAATGTTGCATAGATTTTGACGTCTTTTTCATTCGGCATTATTGTTTTGCTTAACGCATTTAACAGTATGAGTTCGGCATGGGAATACTAATGGTGTACAAAACCTATCGTTAAATAAACAAATACACGGAGAACAACAAGTAAAGGCAATCAATTAAGATGTCAAAATGATATTTATGATTATTGCACTTTCACGATTAATTTATCTATTTTATCGACATTTTTAAAGAGGTTTTTGTATTATTTTTGATATAAAATATATAAGTGTAACATACACCTGCAAACAGATACATACACAGACACATAAATACAAACATAGTGATCTATGGAATTTATACATTTCAAGTATCAATATTAGCCATGAACATATATATATATATATATATATATATATATATATATATATATATATGGTTGGATTGATGTGAATTTGTAACCCTGGCTTTCACGCTTTAGCGATCGTCAGACAGCGTGAAACCCAGGGTCACAAACTTACATCAATCCAACCAAATATGTTAGCTCTATCTCTGATATTGAGCGCTTTCTAATAAGTACCCCGCATATAATATATAGATAATAATATATATAATATGTTACATATATATATTTATGTTTATTTTTATATACACACAATTTTCACACACACACACACACACACACACACACACACACACACACACACACACACATATATATATATATATATATATATATATATATATTGAGGAAAGTTTCATTGAATAACTTAGACAAGTTTTATCTGCTTATTTACAATAGGTTCCGTTCATATACTGCGATGAGCTTTTTGGTGGCAATATTAAAATTTAATACCGCTAAAACATTAAAATTTCTAAATAAAAACGGTCCTTATGCAAGTCTTATATTATATATATATATATATATATATATATATATATATATATATATATATATATATATATATATATAAAAGGTAAAAAAATTCATGGGTAAGTAATGAAACCCAAATAAATTACCCCATACAAATGGCCATTTCGTCCTCAGGAAAAAAAAT